TTTTATTACCATGTGTTTGCAGTACATAAAGATTACATTCATTGTGGAGAGTTGTTAACATATGCATAACACAATTTAATTTTTATTTGCTTCCCCCCCCCCTTTTTTTTTTTTTTGCGGAACCAGGGATTGAACTCAGGCCCTTGCGCTTGCCAGGGAAGCGCTTATTCCACTGAGCCATCTCCCTGGCCCTCCCTCCCATTTTTTGAGACAGGACCTCTTTAGTTACCCAAGCTTGAACTTGTGGTCCTTTTGCCTTAGACCTCCAAGTAGCTGGAATTACAGGCAGGAACCATTGTGCCCAGCTGTGAAATAATTTTAACTTTTTTTAAGCTTTTCTTTTATTGTGTTTAATAAAAGTGAACCTTACAAAAGCTTTTTATTTTAAGAGAAATTGTCAGAGTTAATGAACTTCTTTGGGAATGCACAAGTAGTAGGAGTAGAATTCTGACTGACATTTGCAGCCCTAGTAAAATCGTATTTTAAAAGTATGTGGTATGATAAATGTACAATTGCTTTCTGGTTTTAAAAGAAGAAAAGGTTCGGGGCTGGGGAGATGGCTCAATGGAATAAGTGCTTCCCTAGCATTTGCAAGGGTCTGAGTTCAATCCCTGGTTCCGCAAAAAAAAAAGAAGAAAAGGTTCTTTTCTATTCAGTTTATATGTGCCTTATTTATTGAGCTTTCAATTATATTTCCTTAATGATACTGTTATGTATTCACGTTTTGAATATCGTTTTTTTTTTATGCTACCATAGGTGTAAAATAAAAGAAGATCTTATCACTGTAGGACATTCTGTTATAGAAAAGCAAGGAGAGTGGGATAGGAAATGGGAAGCACTTCTCGGTGTGTCTCCTTTCAGTCTATTTAAAGGCCACACTCCAGTAAGTAATGCTGATTTGCCTTTTGGGGAGTAGTGTAGTTTTGTCAGCTTTATCATTTACCATGTTATTAGCGACCTAGAAACGCTATGTGCACATGGTTGTCGTCTTTGCATTTCTATTCAAAGTTGAAATGCTTTTGTTTTATAGCTTTTCTAAATACATAATAGAATTTTTATGAGTTGCTGTTGTCAGTTTGTGTGTGTGAGAGAGAGAGGGAGAGACGGAGACGGACACGGACACGGACATGGACACGGAGCCAGTTAAATTTAGTAGTTGGGTAGTTAATTTACTTAAATTGAAATGGTAATACTTTACTTCCTTTCCTTTCCTTCCCTCCCTCCCTCCTTCTCTCTTTTTTCTTTTCTTCCTTCCCTCCCTCCCTACCTGCCTCCTGCCTTCCTCCCTCCCTCTTCCGTCCCCCCCTTCCTTTCTTTCTCAGTGGTTTGTTTTGTTTTTAGAGACAGTCTTCCTGTATAGTCCAGGTCAGCCTTGAGCCTGCTCTGTAGCCCAGGCTGTCTTTGAACTTAGTGGCCCTCCTATCTCAGCCTCCAGAGTGCTAGGATTTCAGGCATGTGTGACCATGCAGGTTGAGACTTGACTCTTGATGTGAGAAACTAAAATTTAAGACATAGTTCGACCAAATTATCTCCTTGTTTTTAATATTGTACTCTTCGGTTTAAAAAGTTATAAGATATATGCTTGGTAATTGTTAGGAAAAAAATTTGCAAAATGATCATTTATGGATCAATTTAGCTTTGCTATTGTAGTAGTAACTGTTTACCTAAATTATGAAATCTGTGTTTTAAGGCTGTGGATCTTTTGCCACCTATGTGTCCCCTTTCCTTTGATCCTGTCTCAGAGGAAGTATATGCAAAGAGTATTCTTTCTCAGTATCCTGCTTCACTTCCAGGTTGGTTGCTTTTCTTTTTTAAACCTTTCTCTTGTCATTATTTCTTATTGTTATAATAGTTATTTTTGTTTTTTCCCCCCCGTTTTTATTGTGGTAAATTGAACATAGCATAAAATTCACCATCTCAGTCCTCAAAAAGTATTCAGTATAGTAGCATTTAGTAAATTCACAGTATTGTGCAATTACCACTCTTGTCTGGTTCCAGAACGTTTTCATAATCTTTTTTTTCTTCATTTTCATAATCTTGAGGGAAACCAAGGAAACCTCTGGTCTGGGGTTGTAACCCAGTGGTAGAGCACTCACCTGCCATGCCCGAGGACCTAAATTCAATCTTCAGTGCTACCAAAAAGGAAAAAAGGAGAACCCTTGTCTTTCTGAGCTATATAGTAATCACTGTTTTATTGAGATATCTTACTTATTTTTTGTGATGCTAAGTAGTCACTCATTTCATCCTCCGCCAGCGTCCGTGGCAGCTCTAAAATGAGATATGATTAAAAAAATGATGTGTGTTTACATTAATGAAAATTATCATGATAAAAAATACATTTCCATTAATCCCCCTCATAAGACTCATATTAAATGTATTTATTCAAACCACTTTTTTTCTTTCTTGTTTTGGTCTTTTTGAGATAGGGTTTCACTATGCAGTGCAGGCTGGCTTTGAGTTCACTTTGTAGCCCGTCTGACATGGAACTGAGTGATCCTCCGGCGTCAGCTTCTCAAGTGCTGGGATTTCAGGCATACACCACCACGCCTGCCTCAGATTTTTTTTTTTAAATGAATTCTTTCAGTTGTATCTCTGTACCACATGTACTCATCTGTTTACGTGTTGATAGACATTTTGGATATCTCTACTTTATGGGTATTATGAATAGTGCTGGTAAAAATACTTGGATGTAAGTTTGTGTGGAAGTCCACAGGGTTTTGTTTTTTTTTAACATTGCTGAGTAGTATGATAATGTGAATCACCCGTTTTTTTAAACATTTTATTTACTTGTTGACACATTAAAGATTGTACACAAATATTGTACATATTTATATTTATGGGCCACCATTCGATATTTTGATTACCTGAATGGGTTGAATGATGTTCACTTAGGGTAAACATATGTCCTCTAACATTCCTTAGTGGTGAAAATATTCATAAGCTTTTTTTTATAGCTTTGTTGAAAGCGAGACACGTATGCTATCAAGACTGGGCGTGGTGGGGCGCACCTGTAATCCCAGCACTTGGAAGGCTGTAAACAGGAGGATCACTATGAGTCGGATCTATGTAGTGAGACCCTGTAGACCCTGTCTTAAAATAAAAAAGAAAAGAAAGAAAAAGAAATATACACTCTGTATTCACTGTATGTCGTAGATTTTTTTTAGCGGGAAGGCTGAGACTTGAACCCAGGCCTTTCTTTTGCTTACCAGGCAGGCTCTTGTGCCACTGAGCTGCATCCCCCGCCATGTACTTTTTT